GCGCCGTTCCGTTCGAGGGGGAGGAGGAGGAGGCGGAGGAGGAGGAGGAGGAGGAGATGGAGGGAAAATGGACGAGTGAGATCGAGGATCGATAGTCAAGATTCGGGTGGGAGGAGGAGGGGATGGTTATTTTTATGATGTTCCAACCTAATTTAGCCTTGACCACCAGAAATAAATCGAGCACCAAGAAAGTACCGAGACTCGAGGTTTTTCACGTGTCGGGCCCTGGGAAACACTCGTCCGACATTGTTTCGACACTGGCTCGGTACTGTTTCGACACTGGTTCGACGCTTTTCCAGGTGCTCGAAATTATCTCTGGGATGTGGTCCTTAAGTACGATGGGAGCAACATAAGGTCATGTGTGTCCTTCTAATGTTTGTTCCCCCCTCTCTCTCTGACTCTTTCCCGTCCAGGCGAGCTTCACAAGAGACATTGACACGAATGTGTGTGGCGCTAAGGCGAGAGCTCCGTATTTTGAATGACTCGCTTTGACCGCAAATGGTGAGGAAGTCTCAGGCGAAATGCCCGGCCCGCCCTACCGACACGTCTGGGGGTATGACAGGGCGAAGTCATTTACAAGGAAAAGGGATGGAGAGGAGGAAGAGGATGAGGAGGAGGAGAGGAGGAATACTTGGAGAAAGACTGGGAGGAGGAAAAAACAGGGGTAGGAAGAGATGATAAGGTGGGCGATCGGCGAGGGGTCCAGAAACCCGACAGTGCCGTCCAGGAGGTGAGTTGCCCGAACGTCCCGCCAGTTTCTTCTTGTTCATTTCGTTCCTCCCTGCGTTCCTCCTCGTCCGCCTCCCCTTCCTCCCATATCCTTTCGTCACTACTTATATTCCGTCTCCTCCCTCCCCGCTACATCCTTATCACTCGTCCTCTCTAAAAGTCCTCCTCATCCTGCCCCTCCCTGTGCTGGCTTTCCCCCTCTCTACTTCGGGCCTCTTCCTTCTGGTCGTCTTCCAGCTCCTCCAGCTCCTCCACTCCTCGTCATAGTTCTATGAGTGGCACTTCCCCTTCCCACTTCCTCGTCATTATCCTCGCCTCCTCCTCCTCCTCAACCCTCAGATTCCTCCTGATCCTTCCTCCTTTTTCCTTCTCTTCTTCCTCGCTTAGTTCTCCCTCCCCGCTGCCCACGCATTCCGCCACACCCGTACACGACACGCACACACACACACACACACACACACACACACACACACACACACACCACACAACACAAAACACACACACACACACAACACACACAACACACAACAACAAGCAAGACACGCAACAACTAGATATACATGTGTATATCTACCTACCTATCTATCTACCTGTCTACCTACCTACCTACATACTTACATACACGCATACATATATACATACATACATGTATACATACACATACACACACACACTTTCAGAAGCTCGCTCCGGGGTTTCCGTAGTCGGCCATTTCCCTCAGGACATGTTGTTTCATGGCGAGTCCGTCGCCGACCCCCCATCTCCAGAGACATCGATACTCCATCTCAGGAGACCTCGATCTTCGATCTTCGATCCTCAAGTTTTTTGGCACAGTGCACAGTTCAAGACACCGTCCAGGGGTACGCGATGCGCCTCGGGAGCCCCGTCCGCCAGGCGTAGGCTCACATGGCCCCTGCACGGCGCAGGCAGCTCCATCCGCCATCCTCGATCCCCCATTCGAGCCGTCGCCTCCGCGGGGCAGGGCCCCGGGCCCGCCTGCCCCCTTCTCGTCCTCGTCCTCGTCGTCGTCGTCGGCGGCCTTGCTGTCGTCGTCGTCGCCCTCGTCCTCGTCCTCCCCGTCCTCGTCGTCGTTTTCGTCGCCGCTGCCCTCGTCCTCGTCGATCGACGTCGTCGTCGTCCTCCTCCTCCTCCTCCTCCTCCTCCTCCTCCTCCTCGTCGTCTCCGTCGTCGTCCTCCTCCTCGTCGTCCTCGTCGTCGTCCTCGTCGGCGTCCTCGTCGGCGTCGTCGTCGTCGGCCCCCCCGACGCGAAGGCCGGGAGCTCCGGCGGGGCAGGCCCACGGGCAGCCTGCCCCCCGCGCGGGCCCGGCAGGCGCCTCGCGGCCCCGTCTCGCGCTCCTGCCTCGGAGGTCGGGCACGTCTCGACGACGAGGAGGAGGAGGAGGAGGAGGAGGAGGACGAGGAGGAGGAGGAGGAGGAGGACGAGGAAGAGGAGGACGAGGAGGAGGAGGACGAGGACGAGGAGGACGAGGAGGAAGAGGAGGAGAAGGAGGAGGAGGAGGACGCAAGAGTGGCCCTTCGCCGGAGTGACCTTTGGTGCGGGCTCATCGGGCTCCCCCAGATCGCCGAGCGCGATGCGATGCAAGCGGCCCGCGCCCCTGGGTGTTCGGCCCCCCCGCGCCCCCAACAGCTGCGCACCAGAGGTCACTCTTGCCCAGGGTCACCTCTTACGTCTAGCCGAATGTCCTCCTACAGCCAGGTCCTGGGGGGGAACAAAAGAACAAAAAAACAAAAAATGTCGTCAAACTCAAGCCAAGAAGAACAGAAATCGTCAGAAGAGAACGGGAAGTCGTCGCCGCACGGTGTCTTGTGACCACTCTTGGGTACTCCTCCTGCAGAGGGGCATGCCCGACGTAGTCCTCTCCTCTGCGGCGCGCTTCCTGATGGTCCCGCCGGCTGCTGCAGGTTTGCGTTCCTCGGCAATTGGAGAAGCTACATTACCAGTGGCGGGCTGTTTCTCAATCCCAGGACTTTCTGAGGGTCGGGGACGACGTCGGGGTGATGTGGGGTATACTTGTTTGTCCGTTGCCCAGGGAAACAAGGAAAAGTGTTCACACCAGGATCCCGTAGATGGGGTCGGAGTAGATGGAGTAGGAGGTATCCGTCGGTTCCTTCTGTCTAAGCCTCCCAGATGGGTTCCATCCTGTTGCATCACTCCTGAGTCGGAGTCGCGGCCCTAACACCCCCCCAGTGACGCCCCCCCCGTTACCAGTTCTGCGTCGTTTTTTTCCGACTCCTATTCAGGATTACATATATAAGGGAAAAGTTCGACTGAGACATCCTCATAAATCTGGGTTCAGAGGTGCCCTGGCCAGAGGTGCTCCAGGCAGTTTCGCCAGACATCCTCACAACTCTGGGTTTGGAGATGCCGCGCGAGAGCTGGGGTGGCCAGATCCGGCTGAGACTTCCTCACAACATTGCGCGCTGGCCACGTCCCTAATTGGGAACGGTTTTCTCGCCTCAACGCCAGCCACATTCGGCGGTGGACAAACCTCCCTTTAGTAAACCTCCCTTTAGTGAAACGGCCTGGGACCGAAACCGACGGACCTGGACCCGCAAAAGTGACGGCCGCGACGCCCTCTCGCGAACCGAAAACGGCCAATTCGCTAATCGACGTGTCAGGATAGGAGGCCTGTCCACCCCCGACACCTCCTTTATTGGGCACGTATGGTGTTGCCAGTCGAGTGCCAGCAACATCCTTGATTGTGAATGGTGTTTTCGCCCGAGCTCTTGCTCCATCCCCGTCTGGGATTGGTGCTGTCGCCTTCGCGCTGGCCCCATCCCTCGGCATTAGGCGTGGTGCTTTCGCCTCAGCTCCGGCCACATCCCTAAATGGGTACTGTGTTGCCGCTCGAGCGCCAGTCACAATCACATGCTGAGACGCTCATGGATGAATCTTGGAGGGGTTGTCCGGGTTGTCCTGGGGGTTGTCCGGGTTGTTTTGGATCTGATGTTTTCGAGTGAACATCGTAGCAGTTTTATGTAGTTTCATTATATTTCTCAGTCGCGGCTCGACACTGCTTCTTCATGGTAAAGTCGCGACCCTAACACCCGCTCTCCCCCCTTTCAGTTATGTGTCGTTTCCCGAGTCATGCCTAAGTCATGTTTCGTTGTTTTTGAGTAGCGGTTCTATGTCGCGACCCTCACCCCATTTCCCCAGTTCTTCGCCGTTTCCCGATTCCTAACTAATTCGCGGTTTTATGCTGCGTCCTTCTTCCTAAATCGCGATTCCACGTTGAAGTTATATCCTATATCCTTGAGTCGCGACCCAGACCCCCCCCCAGTCTTGCACCGTTCCCAGATTCTTGCTTACGTCGTGGTTCTATACTGGCCCATAATTCCTATGTCGCGGTTCCATGCTGTAGCTGTCTTCTGAGTCGCGACCCTGATGCCCCCACCCCGTTCCTGCGTCGCTGTCAGATCATTACCCGTGCCGCGGTTCTACACCTCTTCCCTTGTTCTCCAGTCGTTGGTCTATGTTGGTCCAATGTTCCTGAAGCGCGGCCCCGACACCCACCCCTCCCGCCGCACCTCCAGATCTGCGTCGCTTCTCGACTCCCACCGGAGCAGCGATGTTTTGCGGCGTCTCTGTACCTCGGTCGAGTCGCGACCCTGACCCCCGCCTTCCCTCCCCTCAGTTTTGCGTCGCTTTCCGCCGCGTACCCAAAATCGAGGTTCTGAAATGTTTCTTTAATATTAAGTAGCGATCCTGCGTTGTTCCCTCGTGTTCCTCGCTCGCGATCCTGACCCCCACTCCCCGGTTATGTTTCGTTTCTCGATTCCTACCTGAGTCGCAGGTCGATATTGGCTCCTCACTCCGGCGTCCTGGTTCTATGATGTGTTCCTCATTCCGAATATTCGACCCAGACACCCCTCCCCCACAGTTCTGCGTCGTTTCTTGATTCCTATCTTAGTCGCGGCTGTACACTTTCTCCATATACCTGAGTAGCGAGTCGATGGTGTTCCCAAGGTGCGACCCTGCCCCCCCCCCCGCCCCTCCCCCAGCTGTGTTTCTGTTCCCGAAGCCTATCTAACTCGCGTTTCTATATCTTGACCCAGGCATCCCCTCCCCAGTTCTGCGTCTTTGCCAGATTCCTACAAAGTTGCGATTACGTATTGTTTGTTTCCCTAGAGTCGCGAGCCTGCGTTTTTTCTTGATTCCTAGGTCGCAACCTTGAACCCCAAAGCTGTGTGTCGCTTCTCGATTCTTACCAACGTCGCAGCACTATACTGTTACCTTATTTCCCAATCGTAAGTCTTCCCGAATCATAAGTCGCGACCCTGGCCGCCCCCGTCACTCTTGCGTCGTTTTCAGATTCCGACCTAAGTCGCGATTATCTTGCGAACACGTGATTATTCGTTGTTGTTGTATTCCTTGTTCCTAAAGCGCGACTCTCCATATATTGTTCCCCCATCCCTATAAGCGCGATTATACCTTGACTCCTTGTTCCTAAGTCGCGATTATGTGGCTTCCCATTCCTAGGCGCGATGTGATGCTGTCCCCTTTTCTACATGATTTGGGAGTCCATAGATATACATATACACACCTCTGTGTTGATGTGCCCTTGTTCGAAAGCCGCGATTACGTCATGTTTCCTTACGCCTAACGTTCAGTCGCAGTTCTGCGCTGTTTCCTTATGCCTGAGCCGTGTACGTACCGCATCCATCTTCTTAGGTATCGATTCTGCGCTATTCCTTCAATCGCAAGCAACGATTTCATCCTGCTGCTTACTCATCCACCTATGTCGGGACTTCGTTCTGGCCCCCATCCTTTCGCCGCGATTCTGCGCTGCGCTTCGCCAGAAGGCGCGGCGCCCCCTCTGGACCGGCGCCGACGTTCGGTTTCGGAGTTTACGAGACGGGGTTCAATGCAGACGGGGGTCAGCCAGGGCACCGGATCCTGCAGGATCCTGCGAAGACCCCCTCTGGTTGACCCGGGTTAGTGAGCCGCTCGTGGCCGCGAGGCGGCCTCGCCTATTGGCTGACCCGGGTTTGCGAAGACCTGCATTGCAGTTTGTTTTTCTTGCACTGCAGTTGTTTGGTTTCCTGCTGACCCGGGTCTGCACTGACCCGGGCCAGAAGACCCCCGATGGTTGTTCGCTAGGCGGGTGTTGCAGTCCATTGCCACCTCCCCTCCCCCCTTTCGGCAATGGCGCCACACGTGCGTTGGCCCCGGTGACGCGCCCGCCAGGCTGCCGAAGGCAAGACGCCCCCCCCCCCCCTCTCCCTCCGCCCACATGGTGGACCTCTGAAGCTGGAAGAAAAAGTTGCCTACCCTCTACCACGCCTCAACGTGCCAAGGGGCATGGTGGCGGGTAAGTCTGGTTCCCAGCTGTAAAGCGCCGTTCGATTGGCGGATGGCGAGAAGCGTTTTCGAGGAACGACAAGCGTGGACCGTGTTGTACTGTTGATTGCTAACGCTACGTATGAAAGAACTTAGACGCTACAGGATGGTTAGTCGCATCTGGGGGCGTTGGCGGATGTTCGCTGCTTCCCCTCTTTCCCTTCTTGTCCACGTCTGTTCGTTGCTTTCTCGTCCTCCTCCGCCGCCTCCTCCCCCGCCCTTCTCATCCTCCTCCTCTCCTCTCCTGTCCTGTCGCCTCCCGATAGGGCGTAGCCGTGTAAATTACAGTGGCTGCCAGGTGTTTCCCCAACCTGGCTCGGACAACCCCCCCGTAGTTTCAACGCGAACGCCCATGTTTGGTAAGTGAGGGATAGTTGGACGCAACGGTGGAACATTGCGTGGCCCATTCTTCGCGTCCGAGTGCCCAAGAAGTATTCAAAAATGTGTTTGGCACACCCTTTAGCAATATTGGTCGCTTGGTGTATGTCCTGCATCAACCAGGCAACAATCGATCAGCTTGGATCAAGGCTTCATGAGCAGGCCGTCTAACGCTCTTACCTTTCCGATGTCATACTGCTTAGTGGCGCCCCTTTGGCGCAACGATTTCTTGTTGGACCGTGCTTGGCGATTTGGCGTCCCCATTATGCCACTGTTTGTCTGGCGCACGTTTGGCGCTTCGGCTGGTGCTTGACCACTCCGTGGCTTGTAGCTGACTTGCATTTGCATGGTGGATTTTGCTTTCGCGTCCAAGCGACTCTCATACCATCAGCCCAGAGCAATTGCAATATTTGCGATGTTTCCTGGATATTCGTGTTAATTGATTCTGGCCAGCCAACATCGTCTAGGCAGTCAGATCGTTGAAAACGGAGGGGTGCAAGTCCGTTTTCCCTATCCGCCCTTGCGCGCCAGGGCAATTTCGAGTTGGTCGCCGGAGGTAAGTACGCTCTCGCCGCCGAGGCCTTGGCAGGCGAGAAGATGCACGATGGCTCCGTGGACCTGGCAGACGGTTGCCATGGGGGGCCGAATCGAACAGCTGTGTTGCCCAAGTGATGCGCTAGTCTACAATGGCACATGGAAGGAAATATAGAAGTCCAGATATGCTATTAGAGCGAGGGGGAGAGAGGCACCGACAGAATGAAGGAGACGGAGAACACAGACAGAAAGAGAGAGACGGAGAGCTAGAGATAGAGAGACATATGACCAGGGTCGATAGAGAAAATGATAGGATTGAGGGAGAGACACACGTATATAAATGTATGCAATACATATGTTACGTTTGCATACGCATAAACCTTGACACATACACATCTACATCTAGATATACATATAGATATATACATGTGTGTACATATACTTGCCTCCCCATTCAGTGGCATATCATTCGCCTTGTGTTCGATCTAGTGTCCCACTTCGTCTAATTCATCTTCCTCCGACCTTCCCGTCATATGCTTTCCTCTGTTCGTGTGCAGCCACCTCCTACCTTATACTTTCATGTGGTTTTAAACTCGTATGTCATCGTCTTCCTGTTCATAATCTTCGGACTCGCTCTCATCCACCCTACCATTCGTGTGAGTAGAGGAAGCGGACGAGGAGAACAATCTCATGACGAGGAGGACAAGTGGCATGATCAGGGCGAGAATGAGATAAGGGGGGAAGCCTGTGCAATATTATTCTCATCCTGAACACAGTCCTGCCTGTCCTAATGTTCTTCCTCTGCTGCAGCATTGCCCTTATCTTGATCATCATCCCCCTCACCATCATGGTAGCCTTCGTGGCCCTCATTCCCCTCATCTTCGTGATCATCGTCCTCCTCGTTATCGTCCCTCTTGCTGTCTGCATACGCACGTCGCCCCCCATCCCTCCTCCCCGTCCTCGTCCACATGCTCCTCCTCATACACTTCCATACCTGATCCACGTCCCCATGGTCATCGCCATGATCCTCATCGTTTTGCTGCTGGTCCTCGCGTCGCCCTCCCTATATCATCCTCCATCTTCGTCGTCGTCGTCATCCTCCTCCTGATCCTCCGTGCTCTCTCATGCAGCATCTCTCCTTCCTCCGCTCACCCTCGGTCATCCTCCTTCCGCGTCCTCACATCCTTGTCATCCCCATCGTCGTCCGTATATCAGGGCCTATCGTCCCAGCATCACCATCGCGATTCTCCTCATCCACATGTTCATATTACGATGGTTGGCACGAGAGTTAAGGCCAACCTCAGCTTCGGAGGGGCGCCCTCCTTTCCGTCTCTTCCTTCCTCCCTCCGCCCATGCCTCGCCTATGCGTAGAGGAAGCGGACGCGGAGGACAAGTGGCATGATCACGGCGAGGATACGAGAGAAGGGGAGGAAGTCTTTGCAGTATTGCTCTTGACAATCTTTCTCCGTATGCTCGTTGTCTTCCTCCGCTGCGGCATTGGCCGTATCTTGATCATCGTCCTCCTGGTCATCATGTAAGTCCCCCCCGTGGCCCCCATCACACTCGTCCTCCTGGTCATCGTCATCCTCGACTTCGTCCGTCTTGATGCTGATCGTCCCGTTGCCCCCCTTCCCCACATCCCTCCTCTCCGTCCTCGTCCAGATTTTCCCCCTGATCCCCTTCCATACCTTATCCGCATCCCCACGGTCATCGTCATCATCCTCATCGTTTTGCTGCGGGTCCTCGCGTCGCCCTCCTTTCATCCTCCTCCGTCCCCGTCGTCGTCTTCCTCCTGCCCCTCTTAACACTCAATACTCTCTCATCCATTGTCTCACCTTCCCCCCCCCCCCCCGCCATCCTCTTCCTCGCCCTCATCATCCCCATAAGCCCCTATCACCGTCATTCTACCTCTCCTCATTCCCACCCCACCCCCCTGCCCCCCGGGGCACACACCCTCCTCCCCTTCCTCCTCCTCTTCCTCCTCCTCCTCCTCCTCCTCCTTCTCATTCTCCTCGTCCTCTCCTCTCGGCACCCTCCCTGTGCTCCAACCGTTCCTATGGGAAAAAGATGGGGACGAGGGGAAGGGTCTGCTCATGGCGAGGGGGGAAGCGACAGGATGAGGGCGGGGATGGGGCGATACGAGAGCGAATATTATGTTGAGACCCCTATTGGCAGAAGAGGTGGACGAGGAGACGCAGCTGATGACGGCGACGACACCGACGATGATGATGACGATGGTGGTGGTGGTTGTGACGATCTTGGTGTTCATGCTGTTATGCGAATGAGAGAACAACGGACAGGATGGGGGTGAGGATGAGAGTTGCTGATGCTGGTGATGATGACGATGATGCTGTGGACAAGCGGCACAGGGAGGCGAGGAGGAGAGATACGAGGAGGGAGGTGCAGGGGAGTTGCATGATGATAATGTTGAGGATCAGGCGCTCGCCTGGCAGGTTCCACTCGTCCTCCTGCGGCGGACAGTACTCGATTCGCCGTATTGCTGCTGATCCCCATTTTGCCTCTCATCCGTCCTTTCCGTCCTCGTCCACATCTTATTCCCGATCCTCTTCCACATCCTACCCATTGCCTCATGATCACCGGTATCCTTCATCGTATTGCTGCTGGTCCGTGCGTCGCCCCCGTTCATCCTCCGTTCATGTCGTCATCGTCCTTCTCCTCCCCTGGACGTCATTTCTACTCGATCCCACTTGGACATTCGACACCCCATCCGAACGCAATGAGGATACATTGGATATGGGGCTTGCTCCATTGGCCATGGCGTCCTATTGAAATCCTAGTCGAATGCGCTGCGGGTCCCCTGTCTCTAGGATTTGCTCTGTTACTATTCAGAGGGGGGTATGCTCCTCCGCCTCCTCCTTGTTCACTTACGTGAGAGAGGGAGAGAGAGAGAGAGCGCGCAAAGAGAACGAGACAGAGAGAACGAGTGGCTTCGCCTCCTTTGCCCTTGCTTATGGGTGCACAAGCACAGGTATGGATGTGTGGAGGGAAGGAGGCAGAGAGGGTGAGAGTTATATATATATATATAACGACACACAAACACAAGAGATATTGAGAGGCAGAGGGGGCTTCACTTGTTGTTCGGAGGGCGTGCCTTGATAACTAAGGAACGGTACGTACCCTCTTCACAGACGGAGGAGGAGGAGAGGAGAGGAGAGGAGACGCGGGGCACCATCTCTTCAAAGTGTGGATCCAACACCACAGGATGGATGGGAAGAAAATTAGGTGTAATCGGGCTTGGTGGCATCACCGACAAAAGGTGTGTATGATAGGGCGTGGTTGCAATAAACGGCCTGACGAAGAGGAGCACGAAAAGAGGAGGAGGAAGGAGGAGGAAGAGGAGCCGAATCAAATAACAATAATAATAATGAGAGATATGCATGGTCGTTGGGGGCAGACATACAATGCATATGAAAACATAGACATGTGCGTGCCCGCCTGCGCACGCATATGTGTATGCATGAAGACATGTGCACATGAATATGCACACGTGTGTAATGTATGCGTGAATGTATATACGCATGAAGACATGAATGAATATATGGGTGCACGTGTATGCATGTATGTACGAATATATGCATGTATGTATGTATATACACATGTATGTATATACGTATGGATGTATGGGTATGTATGTATGTATGTATGTATGTATGTATGTATGTGTCTGTGTATGTGTATGCGTGTAGTTGTGTATGGATGTAGAGGTGCCTCCAAGACAGCTAAGATGGCCTCAGGAGAGCCCAAAGACGGCCCAAATATGCATCGTATACGGCTCAATGTGTGGTCAAGATAGCTCAAGATAGTCTACGAGGCGGCCAAGACGCCTCCAAAACATCCGTTGGGAAAGCCCGAAGAAGCTAAAACCATCGATGTCCCGTTGGTGGTTGAAAAGTTGTTGCATGTGTTGTTTGCACCCCTGGCCTGCGCATGGGCAACTTGGGATACGAGAGTTCCGGAGGCATTGCTAGACTTTAAGCGCGCGAAGCGCGCGTGGTTCTAGTATGTATGTACGGGTGTGTGTTTGTATGTGTGTATTTGTGTATGCACGTATGTATGTATGTATGTGTGGATGAATGTATGTGTGCAGGGTCGTATGGTTGTGTGAATGTGTGTCCATGCATGTGTATGCATGCATATTCAGATGGAGGCATGTATGTATGTACGCATGCATGCATGTGATGTATGTAGACCTGATTCGTGATCCCGCAAGATGAGCAAGGGGGTACTTCAGCAAACACACATGTGTGTGTGCACGTATACCAGGGTATGTATGTGCATATGTATTTATAGACATCTACAGATATACATATAGATCGTGGCCTTCGGCCCATCAAGCCACCGCGCCTGGGTTGCAGGGCGGAGGCCTCTAGAATGCCTGTGAGGATCTCCTGGGAGGCCTCTCAGAAGCCTCTTGGATTCGGCTTAGGGGTGTCTTAGGGGGCCGCCCGGGGGTCTCTTGGGAGCCTTTTTGGTGGCCTGTGCTGGGCCTCGTCGAGGCCTCCTGGAGCTTGTGGGACCTCTTGGGGGCATGCTGGCGGCCTCGGGGGCCATCTTGGGGCGAAGGGCTTGACATGTCGGTGCGTGTTCCCCCTCTGCGGCTTCTCTTAGGGCCTCCACTGGGGCCCTATTGGGCCGTCGTGGGGGGCCTATTGGGCAATAGTGGGCCGTTTGGGGGCGCCCTTTGGAGCATCTTGAGCCGTAGAGGGCGATGTGGGTGGTTTGTTGGGTCGCCGTGGGGCGTGGGACACCCGAAAATGCGAGAGCACTGAAGCCCTTGAAGACTTTAAGGAAGCGGAGTGGGTTTGGCATCTCGGGGCCCTTTGGGAGGGGGGCTCTTGGAGCCCTTTTGGGGTGTGTTGGGGACCTCTTGGGCCGCCTGTGGGCCACCTTGGGCATCTTGGAGCGATACTTGGGCCATCTTGGACCGTCTTGGAGGCCCCTTGGGCCCTCCTAGCTCGTAACAGGTGCCCTGTGGCCGCTGGAAAAGTCACGCGGGGAAGCCCAGGAGCGCGCGGGAACGCCAAGAAGGTTTTGGAGTTTAGGCTCCCTGCCCCGAATCAGAACATTTACAATACTGAATACAAAACGCAGGGAACTCGAGAAGCCTGGGGAACACTCCACCTCGTGCCTCAGGACATGGTGGCGGCTAGAAAGACAAGAACGAATGGCAAAAACGAGGGCGGGAAACGGATAGAGCGAGAGAGTGAGAGAGTTAACAGCAAACGCACACTCACACATACACACAACAAGCATGCTAGGGGAAGTGAGTCTATTCATGGGCGCACATGTTATTACACAGAGAGAGGGACCACCTCGCCGCAGCAAGTTGCACACAACACATCCACGTACGTCTCATGTGCCAGCATTGTTCGAGGTGGTGTTCATGCCCAGCGCACGGCTGCCAAAACCAAGTCTACGACTGATATAGAGTTGGTTTTCTCTGACATCCCCGTCGCCTCGCCCCAGACAGAGGAGGGAACATATGAGTGGCTTAACTGTCCCCTTTGTGGGGGGCCTTTCCGCCGCGCGCGAGCTGTCGTGGAGGCGGAGCAGAGCGTGTGGTTGGAAGCGCTGCTTGCGAGCAGAGCGCGGCACATTCCGAGTTTGGCTTGGTACGCAGGTGGTCGATGAGCATCGGGAGGGCGCCGCGGCCGATCAGCGGAATTGGCAAGAGACCCCCACACGCGCTAAGAATGGCTCGCATTGGGAGGACATGCCCGCTGGTGGACCGAGGGCCAGGGTACATAAGGCACCGTACTCTAAAAGGAAGGGTCTGTCCAGAATCGTGGATCTACGCGTCCAGCCCGTAGATTTGGGACAGCCCGAGTCCCACCTCCGCAGAGACCCGTGCAATTCGGGTTGACATGTTCGCGTCGGCCGAGAAGTGGGAGCGCAGGGAGAGGCGGGCACTACCAAGTATAGAGACAAACAATGTGATGCATGCCAGCGTGGACCCCGAACAGTGAATTCATACACTCTGGATGTGTGAGCTATGTGGTGCCGCTTATGTTGTATAAGATATGTGGTGCAGGTTCTGTTCCGCAAGCTTTCTGCTCAAGCTATACGGTGTAAGCTGTGCTGTTTAAGCTATGTGGGGTAAGCTTTGTGCACGTACGATGGATGGTGTGAGCTATGTTGTGCAATATATGTGGGGGCAAACGGTACGGTGCAAGCACGCTGAGTAGTGCAAGATGTGTGATGCATGTTGTGCGGATGGAGCGCCCCACGGGCGCCCTCTGGGCAAAACCCTAACAACCACCGATGAGGAGGAGGAGGAGGAGGAGGAGGAGGAGGAGGAGGAGGAGGAGGAAGGAGGAGAAGGAGGAGGAGGACAAGGACGAGGAGGGGGAGGAAGAGGGAGGAGGAGGAGCAGGAGGAGGAGGAGGAGGAGGAGGAGGGGGAGGAGGAGAAAGAGGAGCAGGAGGAGGAGGAGCAGGAGGAGGGGGGAGGATGGGGAGGAGGAGGAGGAGGAGGAGGAGGAGAGGAGGAGGAGGAGGAGGAGGAGGAGGGGGAGGGGGAGGAGGAGGAGGAGGAGGAGAAAGAAAGGGAGGAGCAGGAGCAGGAGGAGGAGGAGGAGGAGGAGGAGGAGGAGGAGGGGGAGGGGGAGGGGAGGAGGAGGAGGAGGAGGAGGAGGAGGAGAGGAGGAAAGGGAGGAGCAGGAGGAGGAGGAGGAGGGAGGAGGAGGAGCAGGAGGAGGAGGAGGAGGAGGAGGAGGAGGAGGAGGAGGGGGGGGGGAGGAGGAGGAGGAGGAGGAGGAGCAGGAGGAGAAGGAGCGGAGGAGGAGGAGGAGAGGAGGAGGAGGAGGGGGAGGGGAGGAGGGAGGGAGGAGGGGAGCAGGAGTAGGAGGATGAGGGAGAGGAGGAGGAGGAGGAGGAGGAGGAGGAGGAGGAGGAGGAGGAGGAGGAAGTCACGCACTGGGTGGGCACAGGGGGTGGGCACGTGGCGCGCACGAGGCGCCCGCGGAGCCCACCAGGCAGAAACCCAACAGCTATGCCCAGATAAATTCGAAGGGCAGTAGGCATCAGCATGTCAGTGCAAACTGGTGGGGGAGCTATAGCTATAGATATCTTGCATGTGCCATCCTTGATGTGTTGGGGAGCCTCTGGTGTGGGTGGTGGGTGCCCAGGTCAAGTCGCAGGCGCTTGATGATCGTGCTGGCGAGACTGTGAATGTAATGCCTCGCTTGTATGTTCTATTGCCGCCTCTGCCAGGAGCGGAAGTCCACAATTCTAGCCTGTCTCTGGCTTCTGATTTTCGTTCGTCTAGGGAGATGTTTGGCATACTTTGTTTTGCGATTGATCGGCGAGCACCAGGCTGTTGGACTGTCGGAAATTTCGGATGAAGCGGTTTGAGTTTTGACCCCATGGTACGGCCCAACCATGTCCTGAGCAGGTTGCCCATCATCAGGCTTCCTGTCGCTAATCCCGCCACAATGCCAGCGCAGTATTGGGACTACTCCAAAAACCGGTTTTGAGTGGGTTCGCAATGGCTTTCTTTTGATAGTACGGGCTCTCGCGGGCGCAGTTGAGCCGTCTTGGGCTTGATTGTTTGACCATTCTCTCAAACCATGTTGGAGCCGCCTAGGAGTGTATCTGAGCCGTTGTCGGCCAATCTTGGGTCGTTACGTGAGCATCTTGCGGAGGTTTTATGCGACCCCAGGGCCGTCTGAGCTTGGTGTTGGGGCAATTTCGGGGCCGCCTGCGGCTTCCACGGGATCGCGGGACGCTTGTCTTTGCGTCATTGTTTGGCGTTTCTTGCGACCTCGGCTTCGGGTCGAAAAACTATCCGTAAGATAGCCTGGCGAAGGACCCAACCATATGCAATTGTGGGCACCGTCGTTGTATGCACCGCATTCGGTGAAGCTCCCTATGGGGCTGCGAAACATGTAAGGGGTGTTTCAAAAATGGGTGCGGTGAGCGCATGCGAACGCTGGCATTTGGGCCTTCGGTGGAGCCCCCATATGGGGCCACGAAATG